AATGGATCTACTACGATCTCACAGAAGACCAAAGTTCAAGAGAAGGCCATCTAAGTCAAATGGCCATCTCTTAGTTTCCATGCTGTTACCACTGAAATGATCTGTTTCTGTTGCTGTCTTTTTGGTTAGTGCAAACTCATGCCTAGACAAAATGAGAGAGAGAGCCTTTGGGTCATTCACACCGCCAGTCTCATTGCCCGACACACATTTACTGCTCAAGGAATAGTCACTGAAAGAATAAAGGGGTGTTCATAAACATCCGTGAGTAATTCTTGCACTACGCTTGAAACCTATCTGACATCAGACCTTCTTAGCATCATTGAGTTTCTGCATCTGGCTCTTTAGTGACCTTTTATCAGATGTTTGCAGTTCTTGATGCTTCTGATTATTTATGTATATGTGGGTGATGCATGTTCATGCATGTATGGGTTCAAGTGCACATGTCTGTTCCTTTGTGTAGAGTTCATAAAACAAACTTGGGTGTCATCTCTCAGAAACTATTTAGAAAAAAATGGTTCAAAGATGAAACATCTTCCCAGACATTCTAATTATTTTTCAAATGAAGACTGCTATATTTTTAACATGTCTGGCCCAGAATTTGCTATGTTGGCCAGACTGACTGATCAGTGAACTTCAGGAATCGTCTCTTTCTCCTCAGTGCGAGGAATAGAAGATACCATAGGAAGATCCTTGAGCTCACAGATAATCACTAGGAAAATCTGGAATGTTAAACAAACAGAGTTGTCACTCCAAAGGAATCTATAATCTGTTTTCCACCCAGAAGACTGAGAATGGAGTTAGCCTGGAGCCTGGGTGACCGCTGTGCAGCACAAACAATAAAAACCCAAAGTCAGATCTCGGGGCTCAAGCTGAAGAACAGAAAAGCAAAACAGCCAAGCCACTAGAAAAGTCTCACCTCTACCAAGGTTTTATATTCCCCTTTCATATTCCCCTTTAGTACTAGAATTAAAGGTGTGACTCTGTAGTACTGGAATTAAAGGTGTAAGCCACCACCACCTGGGTCTGTTTCTGCACTGGTCTTGTGTAGCCCAGGGTGGCCTTGAACTCACAGAGATCCATCTGCCTCTGTCTCCCAAAGCCTGGGATTAAAAGTGTGTGAAACCGCTTCCTGGCCTCTAGTGACTTGTTTTTCCTTCTGATCTTCAGACAAGTCTTATTTATTAAAATATAAATAAAGCATCACTATGCCCCTGTGCTATCTGTAGAGACCGGAGGTGGCTAATAGCCTAAGTGACCTCTGCATTATCTGTATGGCTGAAACCACACTAGATCCACCCCCAGATCCTTAAGATAACACATGTAGCCTATCTATAGAACCCATCTTTATGGAAGAAGTGACACGTTCTTTGAAAAGAGTTTTGATGTAATTTTGCACATGGAATTGTGTACCAGGAAACTTTTTTTCAGAATTGTACCGTACTTAAATATGTCTAAAATAAACTTCCCAGTGTCAGATTCTCCAAGTTTGAACCAACACTGGCTACTGAGTCTTACTGAACCAGAATTTCTTCTTGCACATGGTTACTTTGCCAGCTATGATGTTTGCAAAACCCTCCCATGTCTGGATGTGTAGACTGTGTTGTGTGTGTACATATTATGGCTTATTGAGGGGGCTTCTAAGCTATGTTCCATGCATTCCAACAATGATGCTCTCCCAATAGAAAGGTCAAACAGGAGATTGGATGTGGCAGCAGTGTCAGTATGGTGCTGGAGTCCCAGGTGGGTCCTAGAGGGATTCTGGTCTTCTGTCTGTATTGGAATTCTGGAAGAGTAGGTTCTAACACCAATAGTAATCAAGAAAATCTCCAAGGGCCTTCCCAGATACTTGAGTTTCAGGTGATTCCAGATGTAGTCAAGTTGACAACCAACATTAGACGTGACATGATGATTCTGCGGACTGAACTTGGGTCCTCTTGTTCACAAGCACTTTAGTGACTGAGCTTTCTCCACAGTCCGTCTGATCTTTGCAGAGGGGGATGACATTTTTAACACCCTGGCCAATGTCATCCCAGCTCACTTCTCGATGATCAGGCATTTATTTATGCTAGCAACACAGGATCGTTATTGTACTTTCTCGTTCCTGTGCACCATTCAGGATGCTCCCTCTACTCATGTGTTCTTCCAATGTTCTCTTCTCTTCTCATCCAATGGATTCCAAACCAACCTTCAAGGCTGAGATTAAACATTACCTTCAAAAAGTCTTTCTTAACCCTATACTGTCCTTAGTATAACTCAGCTTCTTTACAGATTGAATTACTTGTCTCCTGACTCCTGGTTCACCTTGTCAATAGATATTTATTTCTCTATGTGTGTCTCTTCTTCCACCACATTAGCTCAGAGGAGTTTATCCGGGGTATGTTTGTATCTCTGTATGAGCTAGGGCGATGCAGAAATACAGACCTGGCAGGCTGTCATATACTCATCACTTGGTGTTTGTGGAAGACTGGCTACAGGATTTCAGAAACTAAGAATTCTCAGGTCCTTTATATAAAACAATGTACTAGTCAAGGTTATCGAAAGGAACAGAACCAACAAAATAAACATATTCCAAAAAGAGTTTTATTAGAATTGCTCACATCACAGGGACAGGGTAGCCAAAAATGGAGAGTGTGTATGAATGATATGAAAATATACCATTTATGATGATAAATTCATATCATATATGTTCAAATAATTCATCTGAACTGGATCTGGAATCAGCTAAAAGCACACCTCTGGGCAGATCTGTGAGGGTATTTCTAAGAAGACTAACTAGGGAAGCTAACTCCTGTAGAGTGGGTAGCACCTTTGGACTACAGCCCAATTATAGACAGGTCACAGGAAAAACAGGGGTGCTTTGCCTGCCTGTTTTTGCTCCTTGCTGGTGAATGCATCTACTGTTATTACTGCTGCCCTCCTTCACTGCATCAGAACCCCATGTCTTTGACCTTCTGACATGGATTAAAGACCAGAAGCTCTCCAGGAATCCTCCAGACTTTCAGTGCCAGATGGGGACTGCTGAGACATCCAGTCTCCTTGATTGCTCAGCAACAGGTTTCTCAACACAAATAATGTATTTGCATTTAAGTTATTCCATCATCTCTAGATGCTCCAATGCAATATATGTAACATGCAAATACAGTGTATATGATGTAAATACATGTAACATATAATATGCAAATACTATGTATATAACATATAAATCAATGTTATCCTGTATTCATTAGAAAATTAATGAGAAAAAATATCTATTTTTGACGAATATTTTCCACACAACATTGATTGAATGTGTGAATGCAGAACTGTGAATACACAGAGTCTACTCTGGATATATATATATGTGTGCGTGTGCATGTGTGTGTGTGTGTGTGTGTGTGTGTGTGTGTGTGCGTGCATAGATAAGTAAATAGAAAAATAGCTGTCTGGGATGATGGATGGATAGATGGTCAGATAGATGAAGAAATTTATTGGAGGGATTTGACTGTGTGATTGTAGATGCTGGGAAGCCCCATGACAGACCTGCAAGCTAAGAATCATGAAGCTCGTAGCATGATTCATCCCAAAGGGAAGTCAATGATGTAACTTGCAGTACAAAGCTGAAGATCTGAAAACTTGGTGGACTTCTGGTCTCCTTGCTAATGTCTGAAGGCCAGTGGATATGGAGTTCTGATATCCAAGTGCAGGGGAAGTGAAGTGTCCTGGTTCCAAAGCCACAGAAGCCCTTTCTCTTCCTTTTTGTTGGTTTTTGGTCTCCAGCTGATGCCCACTCTGTCTATCAACCCGCATGCCAGTCTCTTCTCAAAAGCAGAACTAGGAGGAGCAGAAACTGCTTCAACACAGGGCCAGAGGACTGAGAGAGGTCTCTCCTGCCACAGAGGTGGTAATCTGATCTTCTGTGCACTTCCCTCTGGATGACAGACACTAGCAGATGCTTGATTTTCCCTCGGCCATGCAGGATAGTGATTCTTGTTCCTGCCTCTGCTCTCCCCGCTACTGCTACTATTCACACAGGGAACCCACAGTCGTAGAAGTATAAAAGCACCCAAGAGAGTCCCCTTCCAAGTAGACTTTAAAATCAAAGAGCACACAAGTCTTTGAAAACTGGTAGTGTTTGGGGTCTAGAAGCCCTTTGGTATCTAACTCTACACTTTGAGGGTAGATAACATACATGTAGTTGATGTATACAAGAATATTTATTTGTCCTTTACTGCTGTAGCAAAGAGTAATGGACGTGAAGGTTTAAAATCGCACATTATCTGGAAGTTCCATGGAGCAGAACTCCAAGGGACTCAGCTGGTCTCACTGATTGAGTCTCACAAGGCTGAAATCAAGGCCCCGACTGGGCTGCTGTCCCTTCTGGAGGCTCCAAAGAACAATCTGTTTCCAACTTCACCTAGGCGGCAGACAGGCTTCAGCATGTGTAGGATCAGGGTCCCTGCTGCCTTGTTTACTGCAATCTGGAGTTCTTCCTTCTCTAAACATCTCAGAACTCACACTGCACACTGATTCCTTGGGGTCTCATATTGCCTCTGTCTCCCCTCTTCTTCCCGTGTCTTCAATTTCTAAGCCTACTTTCTTCCCTTTCCTTTGAAGTCCTCAAATGATTGGATGGAGCCTACTTGGTAATCTAGGATAATCCTCCTTTTGTAAGATCTGTAAGCACTGTCTCATCCACACAGTCTCTTTTCCTTTACCAGATAACACATTCATATACTCCTGGGGATTTGGGTTTAAAAGTCTTTGGGGGAACATTATTCTGCTCGTTATAGATAGGTTCTTTTTCATATACGTCCCATATTAATTCTCACAACATTCGTCCCAGAAGAGCATAGTCATATCCACTGTTCATGAACAGAAGCGAGGTTCTGAGAGTTTCCTATCACAACTAGTAAGTGGCATAGCCAGCCTTTGAATCCTGTGCCAGAGCTGAGATCCTGCCTAGTCAGAGTGAGGGAGGAGCGAAATCCAGGGGATCTATCCACCTGCCACTCTGTTTTTACCTCTTCTGCTTCGGTGGTGCCGGTTCTCAGCAAGGCTGTCACTGTCCTCTGGAGACGCGCAGTCACCTCTGACGGATGGCATTCGTGTGCTTTCTGTGTCCCGGCAGAAAACAGATGGCATGCTTCAATGAAATTACTAAGAAATGAATAACCAGATTGTAGACAAGGCTGTGGGTGGGGTTACAGAACACCAAGAAAACAGGCAAGCCACCTCAGTAGGCATCAGTTGCTGCACCCTCGCCTTGCAGGAACGCAGTCATCAGACACCTGAGAGGATGTAGAAACTGCAGGTAGGGCATGCGTGACTGGAGCCATGACCTTCACAGCAAACAGAGCCAGCCTGGCTTTGCAGAGAAAGGGTTGTAAGGAAGACTGACCTCTTTCTCTGCCCCCAGCTCCCATTACTGGCAAGTCTCAAACAGAACCCAGAAGTAAAGGGGCTATCGGTGCATGTGAATTTTATCAAGTTTATCTTTGTTGGCCTAGGGCACAGGCTAGAGGGGTAGAGAGAAAGGGCTTAAAGGGAGCCATCAGTCCAGCAGGATCACCCCCACAGCCACTCTTTAGGAACTGGCGGTGACACAGCCTCACTTTGCCAAGGGTGCTGGTTCCTATGGCTGGCAAAACAAATTACCATAGATGAGAGGTTTACAGCCAGAGATCATTGTGTGCGCTTCTGGAGGCCAGACGTTCAGAGTCAGGTGTTGACTGGGCCCTCGTCCCCATGAGGCCTGGAGAAGAACCCTCCCTTGCATCTTCCTAGCCCCTGACAGAGGGTCCTGGCAGCCATGGCTCTCCCTGACTCAAACTGCACCACTCCAGGCTCTGCCCCTGCCTGCGCATGCCCTTTGTCTCCATATCCTCTCTCTTCCTCACATCAGGGCACAAATCCCTGGTTTTAGGTTCACTCTAAGGTCGCTATCACCTCACAACCCTTAACCATTTACAACTGCAAAAGACCCATTCCCAAATGAAAGCCATAGTCTAAGATTCTAGGTGGACAGGAATTTGCACAGGAGCCAGTCATAACTAGCGAAATGGGTGATTTCCGAACAGAAGCTTTTGGTCCCTAGCATGCAATGTGCCTCTGCCACGGCGATCAGCAAGACCCTGAGGATTGCTGTTCCCTCAGGCTGGGTCCCGGAGTGAGGATGAAACAGAAGATGGAACCCCAGCTGACCTGCTGAGGAAGCACAAGAATATAAATAAACATGTCATCTTTCCTGGCAGATGTCTCGTGCAGTGTTCAACCACAGTCCTGCTCTTCAGAGATATCCCCAGATGAATAAAATTCCCTGCCTCCTTATTTTTACACACAAACATCTTCAAATGAGCCAAACCATGGCAACTGTGTAGTTTCCTAATGCTCCTCTTCTAAGGCGAAGATATAAAAGACACTGACTTTAAAGACAGCTGAGGGTCAAGTTCTCCAGGGCAAGCGGCATGGATGTTGTCTCAGTTCCTATTCCTGAGAAGAGATACCGTGTGGTGGTTTGTAAGAAAATGGCCCCCAAAGACAGTGGCACTATTAGGACCTGTGACCTTGTTGGAGGGGGTATGTAGTCTTGTTGAAGGAAGTGTGTCACTGTGGAGGTGGACTTTGAGGTCTCATATATGCTCAAGCATCGGCCAGTGAGACAGGCCAGTTCCTCATGCCTGTGAGTCAAGATGTAAGAACCCTCAGCTCCTTCTCTAGCACCATGTCTGCCTGCATGCTGCCTTGCCTTCCACCATGAAGATAATGGACTAAACCTCTGAACTGTAAGCCAGTCACCACAAACAAATGTTTCCCTTTATAAGAGCTGCCATGCTTACGGTGTCTCTTCATAGCAATGGAAACTCTAAGACAGTGACCAAGGCAACTTATTATAGAAGAAGTTTGTTGGGAGCTTACAGTTTCCGAGGGTTAATCCATGGCCATCATGGTGAGGGCCATGATAGCAGGTAGGCAGGCACTGCTCTGGAACAGTAACTGGGTGCTTAAGTCTGATCTGAGAATTGGAAGTAGGTGGGAGGTGATTAATTGGGTATGGCATGGGCTATTGAAACCTCAAAGCCACCCCCAGTGACACACCTCCTCCAACAAAGTCCACATCTCCTATTCTTTCCCAAATAGTTCCGCTAACTTGGGACCAAGTATTCAAACTTATAAGTGCATGAGGATCGCAGGCACATAACACACAAGTGTTCTTTGTAGCTGACTATAGAGTAGCTGTCTACATGTTGGACTGATAGTCCTTTCTCCAGTTTCTCCATCAGCCGTCAGAAAAGTCAGGAGAGGACTCCCTTTACTGTCTATATCAAGGCTTTCCGATGTGTCTCTCCTGCCCTTCTGTGTTCCCTTGTGCAAAAACTATCAAAAAAAAAAAAGCACCTCACAAAGATCACTCACCTGTGAGTTTTCTTGGGTACATCTACCAATCGATTGAGCCCCTCTCTAAGTCTGGGCCAGAGGCTGTGGGCCAGGACACACAGGTTTGTCAGGAAGCCACTGTGAAAGCAAAGTGCATGAACTAGGTCCATACTTCCTGAAGAGACTCCTACATATCTGGAATTCAGAGAAAGGTTGGTGGGTCCATGTCTCTTTAACCTTTATTATCTGTATTGAATGAAACACGGGCTTGACAGCCCCACACGCCAGCTGCTCCTGCAGAAGTTGAAATGTTATCTCTCCACCCATCACAACTTCCTGCACCACGACGGTACAGGAAGCCAGTTAGATGTACCATGTGACCTGAGAATGTGGTTCCCCAGAGTGGCACCTCCATCAACAGCAGCCCTGAGAGTTTGCAAGGAATGCCATTCCTGTACCCAACCGCCTAAGTGAGACATCTGGGAGGGCCCAGAGGTTTCAGTTTTCGTGAGTCTTCCAAGGGATTCTACACCCAAACCTATGACATCCTCTGGCCTAACGTAGAACTGACACAGGAAGGTGACTTGCTTTCAGAGGAATATGAAGTCTTCAAATGTTCTGACTTCTCTCTGCCCTTTGTTTCAGTGAAAGTTATGTTGTGGTGGGAAGGGGGAGTACAGACCCTGAGCGCTCCTTGTCTTCTGAGTATTTTGTACTTTCTGCGGTGCTGCGGTGCTGCAGCCAGTAGCCTTTAAGATGGGCGGGGCCTCATATGCTATGTAAGCTGATGTAGAGTGTTTGTCCGCTCTCTCTCTTTCAGCTGAGGTATTTGGTTTGCTGTTCCCCGTTCAAGCAGAGCATTGTGATCTGTGCATCCACCCCTAGATAAATAACCCTCTATTATATTCAATTCTGAACTAGTGTGGAATTTCTTTCAAGCATCGTTCTTCACTGTAGGTTATAAATGTCTAAATGTCAGCTGGGGTGGTTTTTTGTTTTGTTTTTTTTTTTTTCAGAACTCGGTAGGCCACCAATGAGGCCGCTCTATGAACAGCAGGATCTCCAGCATCTCATGTTAAAGGAGTTGATCACATGTCTGGACCTACATAAACCAACATGCGCTTCCAAATGGCATGAAGAATCCCTGATCTCTCTCTGTAGTCAGTCTAGATTCAGTGTGGGAGACGGGGTTTTCTGTAGTTACAAAATACCTTTTTATGTGTTCCTCAAGGAACTAAGTGTCTGAAATCTACACTCAAGTCTCCTGAGTTTCCATTTAGAAGATGACATTTCGGTAAAACTTGGAAAGCTTCTATAGGCAGTGCTCTTGTCCGGAGAATGGAATAAATAAAACCCGGGGTCTCCTGAAGATCCATACCCTGTCCACCCGGTGGCAAACTCAGAAGCCTGTGTGCTGTTGTGTGGATGAGAACAGAAGAAAACTGTACTCTAATTGGAAAGAAAACGTGCTCATTTTCAACAGTTGTGGGGGGACAGAACACCTGGAGCGCCTTCTGAGAAACCAGGCCAAATGGCCTAACCTGCTCTGTCTTGGAACATTTGGGAGCGTTCTAGACAGGTCACATGTCAGTATTGGTGATGGAAAAATACACTGTGCTTGTGGGTAGAGAAATCACTCTTCCTCTTTTGTTTGGGAGTCTGTCTTGTCTGACAGTGCTGGGGAGATCGCTTACCATTTGTGTTCCAATATTTGACCCCCTACCCAATTAGTTTTTCTTTCTTTGTACTCAGCCTACGCCTGTACAGTTTCTTTGCCTCTCCCAACAAGTGTTTTGTGGCAGCAGGATTGAAAGCTAAATGAAAAGCTATCGAAGCTCTAACGGGAGGAATCGATAGTACTATATGTAAGTGCATGCATGCACCACAAACGACAGCCTTATTTCTATGCAAGTTAAGATGTTCCCAGCACCTCTAATTGACTCCCTGCCTAGCCGTGGCATTCACGCTCTGAGGACTAGACATGGCTAGGCTCACCTTGCCGAGACAGGGTGGAGAGCTATGGATGGACTGTGGTTTGATGTTTCTCCAGGGACCTTTCTGTGGGTACCCTAGCTGGGCCAGGCCTAGGGCCTGCTGAGAATTCCCCCATCGCTTACCCCTTTGCATTCAGGCACTAAAAGTTGTTTAAATGCAAATTAATTTCCAGGCAGTAGAGACATTATTATTCATTAATATTTGGCCTCTAATGAGTTTATCAGCTTAGAAGAAAATGTGCTGGGGTCTTTAGGTAATAGAAACTAAGGAGATAGGTTTTAATAACGGTGGGTAGAAGCATATAGAGTAAGTTCCAATGCACTGTAGAAAAATAGAGCTGGAGACTCAAAGTATGGCGCGAGGAACGAAGGAAGGTGAAGGAGGCGAGTGTGAGCGTGGACATCGGACGCCGTCACAGAACTATAGGCTGTGTATGCCTGACATTGCCAGCATTTGGAACAAGACCATTTACAGAACCTATGCTGGGGTGTGGCTCAGTGCCACCTGGCATGGTGCATCATGGTCTTCAAGGCCTTGCTCATCTGTCATGCTCAGGTCCTGTGGGCATGTTTGAGAAACAAACTAGACCAAAATATGCGTTTGTGATGCTTCCAGACATTCTTTAAGGCAGACGGGGCAGGAAATGCAAGGCTCTGCCTCAGGGACACACCTGACTTATTTGAGGAAGTTTAGACTTAGGACAATGGGGGCCAGCAGGACACATCAGCTAGATAAGAGTGAAAGAAAGTGAGCAGAGACAGTCACGGGGTAATGGAAGCTCCAGGCCACGCAGGGTCTTCCTAGACCTTAGACTTTACCTTTTACCTTGATGAGGGGTTTTGAGGCCAATACTGGTCATCTCCCAACTTACCATACTGCTGGAAGCCTGAAATGGTGACTCATGCCTGTAATTCCCATACTTAAGTGGTCGATAAAGGAAGATCAGGGGACAGCCTTAGCTACATAGTAAGTTTGAGGCTATCCTGGGCTACATGAGACCCTGTTCAAAAACAATAGATGACTATTGCACACGCTGGAAAACTCAGTAAAGAGACAGAGATGGTGAATATTTTCAGTTAGGAGGTCTCTTCAGTGTACTGAATCATCTGTTGTTGCACTGAAAAAGTCAGCTAATGAGTGTGGCCATGGACCAGTGAAACATCAGTCACCAAATAGACAGCTATTATATTTGGAACTTACTGCCTTCTGTGCCATTGCGTTGGTCCAAAGGAAAGACTTACTATTTTATAAGATTACTTAAAATATGTATGTAGTATATATAGATACATATATTGTTTATGTATATAGATAAATGGAGTTACCTACACAAAAAGATAGCATGCCCCCAGGAGCAATAGATTATTTAACAAAAATTCCAGTACCAGGCAAGAGACATTGCTCTTCAAATTGTTGGTCAGGGGGCCAAGAGGCCCACAAAGGTGTAGACTGTTGCCATTGCTCTTGGCTGCCTCCCAAAGCCTGGTGCTAAGATGACAGTCACAGACTTGGAGAGTTTAAGCTAGCGCTGACCTGGAAGTCTCCTCCTGAAGGACTAACTCTCCTCGTGTTGGAAGCTGTCATGACAACTGCGGAAGGAGAAAAGGACTGCCGAGTCCTATGCGGCTGTAAATCCTAAGCCCACAATAGTGACAAGTCCAGCAACACACCCCCAACAGCTCCATGGTAGGGCTTACACCGTGTGGAACCAACTGACCTCTCATTGGACTTAAAGCTAATTCAGTAAGAGGGAACTCAGGCTTGGCACTGTAAGCCTAGCCAAGAACCCATGACTGGACATACATTTTAGCTCATAGACCCTAAAGGAGACCTTCAACTGCCGTTTTCTAAGCTAATATAATTGCCTTCTAAATATTTATCCTTCTATCTATACATTAGTGCAGCTCTCACCCTTCATTTAAACACGTCTTTTGGCAGCAGATGGGGACTATTACAGAGAGCTACAACTGGTCAGAATGACCCTGGGGTGCCCGACCACAGCCCAACTGGTTCGTCTGCAATACCATCCCTACATCTAAGACTCGGAAAATCATAGGAAAAGATGGTGGAAAGATTGCAGACGCCAGAGGACCAGGACAATGCTGTGAGACAGTGTCTTCTGGACATGACCGGAATGTTGCTCCCACAAACTCACAACAACGTAATTGCCATATAACACCTGCTTAAGACTATGTCAGTTAATATACCAGCACAGCTGGGGGTAAGTTCACAAGTCTCCACGCCTACATTGTGTATGTGGTGTGTTATCTCTGAAACCTTCATGGGCAGCAGAGCCATGAGCTGCAGGAGGCAAGAAGGCATTTGGCACATCGGAACTCAGTAGCCAGGATTGGTTCAAATTCCCAGAGTCCAACTCTGAGTGGTTTATTTTAGGCACTTTGAAACACATTCCAATCTGGTGAAAATTAATCTTGTGATAATTAACTCAGTCCCGTGTGTGCAACAAAACATACATAAATCTCCTTGAGGAACAAAGCCATCTAAATCCGGATAAGACATGACTACATGGAGAATCTTTGCAAACCACCTGGGACCCCTTCCATAAAGATGGGTTCTATAGATTGAAAGAGAAAAACAAATTTTTATAATTAGGGTCTGGAGGAGGGTCTCCAGCCACATGGTTTCCACAAAGGTCACCAGTCCAGACGCCATGTCAGCTCTAGACCTCTGGGCAGAAAGCAGCTCTGCATCCTTTTCCTAGAAGGAACCCTGTGTGCCAGGGACATTTCAGGTTTCCAAGTGCACGTGCGTGAGCACAAAGACTTCTGTGTCCTGCACACTACAGGAAGAAATACAGGCAGCCAATGACTGCTGAGGGAGGGGGAGTCAGTTTTCTTCCGGGATGAGCCTAAGATCAGGCCTAACCCTACCTGTATATATAGGAGACACTCACTGGGCTCAGTAGGCTGTATCTCCTGTGGGTGTTTATATGCACTTGGGTATGAAACACTTTTTAAAAAATAAGATAAAATATGTGACTGCAGCTGTAGCAGAGAAGATAGAACATAAGCAGGGGCCAAGTCCTGCCTGTTGAAAGGAGAACCGATAGCATTTGCTATCAGACCAAATGTGGGGTAGAAGAGAAACTCGTGAGGTAAATGTAGTTCTGGGGTGTTTGGCTGCAAGTAAAGGTAGAGACCGCACTGCTGGGCGGCGGGAAACAAGGAAGAGAGACAATGGGGGAAGGACTCCTAGAAATCAGCTTGAGTCATGAGAATTTAAGATGCCTCTAAGATAAAGGAATTGGGCTGGATGTTCCCCAACCCCCCTTCTAGCTCTAATAGTCTGTGATCCCAAGACCATGAGAAGGTAACGCCCTGCTCTTTAGAAAGACCTTGCCCACAGTCTTAACTGTCTTTCCCAAAAGCAGTTGGTGGTTACGCTGACTAGAGAAAAGGGAAGTAATTTCACTTCCTTCCATCGTGTGGTCAAGATGAGCACACTCCAGATGCACTCTTTTCCGATCCTGCTAGCCTGTGGCACCAGTCAGACACAGCAGGAAGTTTGCCAGAAGCTCCACCCCACAATTTAAATTTTCTCCCACTTCCCTGTCTCTCATCTCTCTTCCCTGAGAGCCATCTTTTTCCCTCTGCGATTCTTTGTAAGCAAGCAGCAGCTAAGCCAGTGGGGTTGTCTGTGGCATAGGCCCCCACCCTTCTCCGTGGGCTGTTTGCAGCACGGAGCCCGCAAAGCCACACTGGGCGTATGCTGATTGTAATATATTTAAAATATGAGCATTTATCGGAGGCAGCAGATGGAGGCAGCAGAGTGGGGCTCCCAGAACCAAGGGCAGGGAGTGTTTCATTCAAGTGTAAAGCTCGCATCATCTAGACTCAGCTGGCACTGGCTCATAAAACCAGTGAAGAGAAAGGACGGTGGAAAAAAGCCACCTTTGTGCTAGGTTCGGAAGGTCACAGCATTCCCTGACCTTGAATCCTCCGTGCCTGAAAGACAGTATTCACTGAGGGAGGGGGAGAGCAAAACTAGAACAAAACTTCCTGACTGGCATCCTTAATACATTATACTTTCTTAAACTCCAATCGATCTAAGGAAAATTCAGAAGCTCACTGTAAACAGAAATCGAAATCATGTTACTTATGTTCATGTACGTTCATTCTTCTGACAGTCGTTTGCTGTGTGCCTTACTCACTCTGGGACCAGGAATTCGGCCGGTCTCCTTACGGAGGCTCTTAAATATCGGAGATGTTCAGTGGATTTCAGCTTCAGTTTCTTTTTACTGATCTCCTCACAGTTTACCCTAAAAGCACAAATATATTCAAAGCCTACTCTATTGACAATTTGAACTAAGAAGTGTGTTTCGATGGTCAACTTCCTCTGGGCTCAAACACCAAATTCAATACATTAATGGTAGAAAGAAAGAAACAGAGAAAAAAAAAAAGATAATATTTTAACACGTCTGCTTGAGGAAAGAGCCACGATTGTGCCGTCCTGTCAGGCAAAGTCAATTTTAACAGTTGATCTCAGGTTTGCAGAAGGGCTCAGAGTCACTCAGAAAAGGGCCAGTAGATTAGGCCAGAACAGTAAACCTCTGTGTGATGCTTGCCTTCCATTATGTTTTGAGAGGCACTGAGAAGCGAAGTGAGTAAATCACGTATTTCCTCC